CTTTTCTCTAATATATTAGCCATTGCTCTGGGTATCACAACATAATTAACTGTTCCTAGTCCACTTAAAGGTAATATTGTACTACTTTGTGTAAAATGTAGAAATCTTGCAATGATATAGGTCCATTTACCCCTCCCCCTCCTGTCATAGTTATTATAGGTATCATATTTGCATGCATTATAAACCCACAATACATTATAATTTTTGCTTTAGTCATATGTACTTTAGAGAAATTAAGAGAAAATGCAGTCTTTCATATTTACTCATACAGTATCTATTTCTGATGTTCTTCATTCATTCCTGAAAATCTCAGTTTCTCTCTGATACCATCTCTTTTCAGCCTGAAGACCTTTTATGTAGCATTTTGTGTAGTGTAGCAACATGGGGACAAATTCACTTAGTTTTTCTTGATCTGAAAGTGAGCTCTTTCTTTCACCTTCATTATTGAATCATAGAGCGTTCAGGGATGAGTTTCTTTCTCTTAGTGCTGTCTTCTGACTTCTATGGTTCTTGATGAGACATCTGTGGTAATTCAAATTATTCCCCTCTATATATGTAACAAGATTGCTTTCAAGATTTTTTTCTTTGTTTTTTAGTAGTTTGACTAGGATTTGCCAAGGTAGATTTCTCTTTGAATTTATTCTGTTTGGGGTTTGCTGAGATTCTTGGGGTTTGCAAATTTATGTCTTTCACGAAATTTGGGAAATGTTTAGCCATTATTTCTTTGACTATTTTTCCTGCTCTAGTTTCTTTATCCTTTCCTTCTATGATTCCAGTATCCCTATGTTAGGCATTAGAAATTGTCCCGTAGTTCCAGGAAGCTCCATTTATTATTTCCAATCTTTGCTTTCTTCATTTTATTCTGATCAAATGATTTTTTAAAAAGATTTATTTTAGAGAGAGTATGGCAGGGGAGGGGCAGAGGGAGAGAGAGTCTTAAGCAGACTCTGCGCTGAGCATGGAGTCAAATGTGGGGCTCCATCTCATGACCCTAAGATTATGACCTGAGCTGAAACCGAGAGCTAGATACTTAACTGACTGTGCTATCCAGGCGCCCCTGATTGAATGATTTCCGTTAAGAGGTCTTCAAGTTTACTGACTCCTTCCTTTGTCATCTCCATTCTCTTCTTCAGTCTAGTGATTTTTTAAAATTTCAGGCAATGTATTTTTCTGTTCTAAAATTTCCATTTGGTTCTTTTTTTATATTTTCTCTTTCTTTGTGGATTTTTTTTTTACTACATCAGTTAGTAGCATATTTTCTTTTACCTCATTGAGCACAGTTATATAATAGCTGCTTGAAAGTCCTTGTCTGAAAATTCCAACATCCAAGTCATCTCAGGATTGGCATCTGTTGATTCTCTTTCTCCTTGGAAATAGGTCACATTTTCCTGACTCTTCACAAATTTAGTAATTTTGGATTATAATCGGGACATTGTAAAGGTTCTGTTGTGGAGACTTTGGATTGCTTTATTCTGAACAGCATTGAGGTTTTTGTTTTAGCTAATGAATTTGGTTAGACCCACCTCCACCCTGCCGTGCTGTTGTGGGTGATGGCTCAGATCTCAGTTCAGTTCTTGAAGCCTTGGCTACAAACTTCTTTCATTTAGCCCAACACATGCATGGTTCGGGGGGGCGGGGGGGGGTTCCTGCCAGAGACTTGAGTCTATATACAGAGTTTAAAATTTCTGCCTTCTCTAACTCCCTCTTTGGCTTCCCCTTTACTCTTGGCAGTCCTGGTTATGCTGGACTCCTTCTACTATTTTGTATCTACCAGAAAGATGATCTTTCTGTTGAATTTCTAAAGTATCTGTGCTGCTGCCACGACGACTATACTGTTTTTGGGCAAAGCTGCAAACAAAAACAAACAACTGAGTCACAGAGAACCCATTCTAAGCATGTCACAGCCCCTCCAGCTTGCCTGTCCTTGTTCAGTATCCAAAGACCGTAATAGATGTTTTTTTTTTTTTCCTGTCCAGAGTTTATAGCTATTCTTTGTAGGAGGATCCATTGGTTATGTGCCCCACTCCTCAATGCTATAAATGTGGCTCTCAAGCCTTGAACTAGGAAATTGCAGTGGCCTCCTTGACTAATCAAGGAGTCATATTTCCTTTTGCCCAGATTTTTATTTCCTTCCAAGACAGTTTCCACCTGGAAGCCCAGTGACTGAAATAAAAATCTAGTGTTGACTCTGGGCTTATAGGGTTGGGTATAAAGTCCTTGTAAAGGCAGATGTAGCCCTTTGTAACTCTTGCTACCTGTATACTGCAGCAAGGTGCTTGTTCTCAATCTGGTATGTTCCACAATCCTGGAATACTCATCCCTTTCTCTTCCTCTCTTTCCCTTGCATAACTCCAGCAAACCTTCATGGAGTTCATGCATTTTCCCTGTCTTGAGTTCCACGTCCCCTCTGAGTTCTCCCTTACCATTCTATGGGTCTCTCTGGCATGGGATTTATGACTTTGTTATTTTCTGCTTGGTTGTCTGTACCCCCACAAGACCAAACTCAGGGGTTGCAAATCATGCCCCAATCTTTAACTGCTACCTAGCTCCCCTCACCTAACTTTACACACTACCTGATGCATAGTTTTTGAAATTTTTTTTTTGCATTGAAATTTAAGAGTACAGGTTTTTCATTTCAGCTTTTAGTGGGTATCTGCTGTGCACACATAGAGTTCCTCTGAAATAGAACAAAGGATTTGTGGCTCCTTGTTCACCATTCACTGTATTCGTTGTACCAGTAGGGCATATTTACTAACCTTGTCTTTCTTTCATGCCCCCTAACTAGAGGTAGTTAGCTCAGAATTGTGTGAAATCCTCATTATTAAACTCTACACTGAGAAGAGACAAGGCAGTGGGGTTTTTGGAGCTTGTTAATGCGCAAGCCTCTTCTGTCCGTGTCTTTCCTAATGAATGCGAGAATCCAACTATTGCTGGGAAAGCTGTGTGTACGTGTGTGCACTTGTGTGTGTAAATGTTGTACCTCAGGTAGTAAGCCAGCAACATTCTCCCATCCTGAGCGTTAGGTGATAGATTTGGAGCCCATCCATCTGCCATGGCTCGTCAGCTGCTGGGGAATCTGGAACGCATTCTCTCCCTATCCACCATTTCCCGCTTTTCCTGAAGGGATCCACAGACCTTTACAGAACATGAGTTTGTACGACAGCTGCTGCTCTGCTCCTTAGTATCACCTATTCAGAGCAGGAGCTACCGAACTGCACCCCACACTCTTTCTTTTGAAACAAATTAGTTTCTTTTTCAAAGAACTTTTCAACTTTCATGTGTTAATCTAGTGTCTTAGAGGAGTGATTTAGCTTCAGGTCCAACTGAAAAGACAATGCTTTAATTTTTTTCTAATCATGCAAATTACATGCACCTTATAAAAGTATTTATACATTTATTTATTCAATAAATATTTATCTTGCATCTCTGACATGCTATGCTCTGAGAATATAGCTAAGAAGATAGATATGGTATTGCCTCATGAAAATTTAGTCTTACAACAAGTGTTGGTGAGGATGTGAAGAAAAAGGAACCCTCTTGCACTGTTGCTGGAAATGCAAACTGGTGCAGCCACAGTGGAAAACAGTATGGAGGGTCCTCAAAAAATTAAAAATAGAACTAGCACTACTAGGGTAATCTAGTAATCGCACTACTGGGTGTTTACCCAAAGAATACAAAAATACTAATTTTTAAACTTCTAACTAAAGGGATACATGCACCCCTATGTTTATAGTAGCATTATTTACAATAGCCAAAATAGGGAAGCAGTCCAAGTGCCCATTGATAGATGAATGGATAAAGAAGAGGTGTTATATATTTATACAATGGAATATTATTCAGCCATAAAAAAGAATGAAATCTTACCATTTGCAACGACATGGATGGAGCTAGAGAGTATAATGCTAAGCGAAATAAGTCAGAGAAAGACAAATGCCATATGCTTTCACTCATGTGGAATTTAAGAAACAACACAAATGAACAAAGGAAAAAAAAGAGACAAACTCTAGAGAACAAACTGATCATTACCAGTGGGGACGTGGGTTGAGGGATGGGTGAAATAGGTGATGGGAATTAAAGCGTACACTTCTCACGATGAAAAAAATAAACTAGTAATATACAAAAAGAGAAAATTTAGCATTACAGAAAAATATAGAAGAACTTCAAAAAACTCAATACCCAGAGATAACCAATGTTAACCTCTTTCTGGATTTTGTGTATGTTTGCCCTTTAGGTGTCAGGCACCATTCCTTCTTCTGTTTCCATTCCAATAACCTCAACCTTCTTGCTCCTTTGTCCTTCATTTCCCCCATGGGGCAAATTTCCAATTCCTAAGCATCTAATCATCAACCTATGTAATGTTTGGCTCTGGCCTGAAAAAAAAACTATTTAGAATGCTAATTTTAATCCCAAGGAGCTTGTTCTACTTTATATGTTTGAGATTCTGAATTTTCCAAACCTATGAAATACTAATTATTAAGTTATAGAGGTATTTCCCACTAAATTAAATTAATAGACTTACTCATTTTATAGTTTAATAAGGGAGTATTAAAACATGAGCTGCACCTTATTTATAATTGCAAGAAGTGATAAATATCTAAATGCCATCAATAAGAGACTAGTTAAATAAATAACGTACATCCACACAATGGAATGCTATGAACCCATTAAAATAGCTTGTTGACATAAAAAGAAAACTAATAAACATGGCAAGATATTCACAACAAATTGCTGAGTGAAAAAACCCCAAATTTAGCACAGAACAGGGTATTTTGTTTGTTTTCACGGATGTAAAATTGGATACATATGTATGTACATGCACAGAAAACTATCTGTAAGGAGGCAAACAATCTATTTAATTCCTACTATGTCAGAGATGCTCACTAAATACATTATGATAGATATCCATGTCATAGGGGAAAATTGGATAACACATATTATCACGCATGTTTGTGGGGGAACCTATTTGCTTGACTAAAAGTACTTTTTTTCCTCCTCCCTAGAATAATGAACTACAAAGCAGGTTGGACTATTTAACAGAAACCCAGGCCAAGCCTGAGGTGGAGACCAGAGAGATTGGAGTCGGCTGCGATCTTCTCCCCAGGTATCTGGAAATTTCCTATTTTTCTGACTCAAATTCCTCTCCTGACTTAAGAAAATACTTTACGGGGCTGTGATTATCAGAATTGCATTCTTTCTATCAAAAATATTTTTGCAAAGATAAATGGCAACTGCCGAGGGGTCTGGCTCGTTCCTGTGGGAGCGGGGGCATTGTGCAGGACAGAGGGGGTAGTGAAGAGAAGGCTGGGGAAGCCACGTCTGAGAGGCACAGGCCCTGTCAGGAAGTGCATGCGTTTGATCCCCCATCCAGTCGTTCATTCACTCAGCAAACATCTGTTGAGTACCGTCCCTGTGCCAGACGCTTATGGAGAGGAATGAGATTTGGTTCCTGCCCCACATGCAGTCTGGAAGGGGAGACAGACTTGGAGGCAGACATTTACAACAGTGCGAGAGGGACCTGCGAGGGGCTTTGGTAACATAGAGGAGGGAGGGTCTAAAGCTTCAAGAAATTCATCTCTTCCCCGGTGCCGGGACACAGTCTAGCCAAGCACTGGCTCAGCGTCACAAATAAATCGATCTGTTTCATTCACAACAGATGAACGGTAACCACAACCTCGTTTGTTCAGTTGCGTTTCTGAGCTCGAGGGCTGACCTGTTTGTCTTTAAGCTGCTCCCCATACCCATGCCTGGGTCTCTCCCTAATAAGATTAGAATCTGTGATCCAGTAACCAACCCACCACCTCTAGGTGCTCGAAACCATGCTCGGCCCGAAGAGGACATAAAACAAGGTGATGATGAGGATGCCAATGGCATGTGGCTTGTGATTTAGGTAACCAAAGTCACAGAGTACCTCGTATACTCTGTGTAGGAGGGTGAATTCCTGTGTGATCAGGGGCATCCTTGTGTGTTGTGTTTGATATTAGGCCAGAAAAATGCAGAATCCTGGAACCTTGAATGGTTAGATCTGGTGGGAAATGGGGGTGAGCCCATCACCAAGCTGGGATGTCAAATACCTTGGGTCTAGTCCTCCTCGCTAGCAGCAGGGTGCATTCAGGTCGGAATGTCTTTGCTGGGGCCTCCGTTTCCCAATTTGTAAAAAGTCAGTGGTTTTGAGTAGATGATTTCTCAGGTTTAAGCAGCTTAAGCAGGGAAAAAGATACGTAAATAGACTTGAGGTCTCATCAATATGGGGGACAAAGTCCATGATAAAAATATAGCCAAAAAAAATGGTCATGTCCAGGGACTCTCTGAAATATAAATAGTTTCGCCATTTCTCTCCTTTTTTATTTTTCAGGAACCAAGTGGTTTAGTCCACTTTAATTGCCCACATAATAAATCTTGTTTGGCTTAAGACGGGTACAAAACTATGTCTGAAACCAATAAATTGTTTTGTTTTCTAATTCCCACATTTTGGCTTAAAACAAGGTTTTCAATTTGCATGCCGAAGGATAGCCTGAAGCAAACTTTTATGGCTAAGTTATGAAACCACAAAGCGGTTTTCATAATGGAAGTGCTGACAGACCCTTAACTTATGGCCATGGTGAACCTGGAAGCCACTTCAGCATCTAAAAGCAGCTTTTCCATAAATGTAACATTTGGTTTCCCCCAGGATCCATCTTAGCGCTTTCACTGCGTAGGTCAGTCAGCAGAGGAAATGAAAGCTACATATCCGAGTTTCCGAAAAGGCAGGGTAAGATTCCATTCGTTTCCTCTCCGATATTTATTAAGTGCCCACTATGTGAAAGGGGCCACGCGGGATGGAGTGGCAAGGAGCACGGCGTCGTTAGATTTCACAGCAGTAGTTTCTCACCTGTGCTTCTTGGAGCTGCCTTGCTGGGCTCTGGGCTCTGTGCTTGGGGCTCAGGGAGAGGCCTCCGGATGCCTCAGGGGGCACAAGGTGAGCAAGGAGCTGGCCTGCGGGGGGGACCCTCCCCCTCCTGAAAAACAAAACGACACAAAACTGAAATACTCAGCTTTTAGTGTGTTTTAGATGTTGGACCCCAAGTACGATTTTGTTTGAATAAAGAAACTGGAACCCCCTGGTGGAATTTAATCCCCATGTTTTGATAGAGAGCAAAATCGTGGCTCAGAGAGATAAATGATTCACTGAAAGCCACAAAGCCAGGATTAGAACCTGGTGTGGTACTTGTGTCGTTTTAAAATACTCAACAGAGTTGCTAAATTGTATTGTGTATGTTCTAACAAAATTCCTGGTTCTTACTTGGGACTTTGAACTTGCATCTAATACAAGATCTTACGGTGTTTTCCAGAATATTTTGAAATGGCCTCCTCTGAAATGTTTTAGATGAATAAAAGTATTGCATTAAGCCTTAATTCTGCAGATGAGTTTTGTTCTCACTACCTGTTCTCTTACAAAGAACCTGGCAGTGTGGTCCAGTTGGGGAGCCTCAGGCCGTGGGGCTTCGCTGCCCAGCTAGCTGTCAGCCGAGCACAGCCTTGGGCGAGCTACTTAATCGCTCTGAAGCCTCCATTATTTCATTCTTAAAATGGGAATGAAGAGGACAATATCAAATCTCATAGGGTTTCTATGAGGATTAAATGAAAACATGTATATACAGCATTTAGCATGGTAACTGGTTAAGTACTTACTTAAGAATAGCTATTATTACTATTAACTACACCAAAGCTCTGATTTTTCATGTAAGACACCAGATCAAATATAAGTGAATTTGGGTGTGCTAAGACAATTTCATTAACTTATTAGTGATTTTGTTCAACGGATTGATAGTGCTTCAAGCCCATAATGCTTCAGTATGCATTAAGCTCTCCAATTAAACTCTCTGTGGTTTGGAGCCCTCTAGACAGTGCATAAAACTCTGGAAGGCCCCGTGGTGGATGAGGCCCCTGTCAGCTGAGATGTCAGAGTGGTCGCTGCGTGTTCCGGGTGCTTGCGCACGAAGCCTCACGGGGGGAGGAGTGAGCTACCTCGGACTCATTTCTCCCTCTACCTGGAGGGCTTTCATGCTGTGCTGCTAACAGCGTCTGACTTATAATTATTGCTGCTTGATTTTTATGCTGGAAAAATTCGAAATCAGCCTTTTCTTTACTTACAGAGCCAGTAAACCCCTTTTGTGACCTCCTCCCCACATCACCACCACTTCCCTATTTGTGTCAACTCTGTGGACTCCAGTGGACAGGGACCCTGGGCTCTCATCCCCTAGCCTAGCACTTTCTTGATGCTCCATAAACATGTGTTGGCTGATCTGCCTCTCGCTATATCTACAGCTTTGGGCAAATCCCTAATCTCTTTGAGTCTCAGTTTCTCAGCCAGAATTGGAAGATTCTGACAGTAATTACCTGGGTGGCCTGCCGGGCTGGTGAAGTAGGATACAGGCATAAAGTGCCCAGCGGAGTGGGGGCATTTTCCTATTTCCATTGAGCTGCCACGACTTTCCCGGGGCCCTGAGGTCCGTTCTCTGAGGACACCTGTGCCCCAGGACAGCCTCAGTGCCTGTACAGGGCTGTCCCCCTTTAGTCCCACTGCCACCAGGCTGCTGGAGACCTGGGTTCTCTAGGTCTAGGCGACTGAATACCACCTTCTGTCTCCAGTTTCTCCTCAACTCCTTCCTCTCTTCATCTAACCCTTGCATTCCATTCGTTTCTAGACAGCAAGGATCTTACAGCAGAGCAAGGAGGGAGGGAAGGGGTGAGAAGGCACTCACTGTGATTTCAGAGACTTTTAAACACCTATTTTTTTTTAAAAAGACTCAAGAGTTTGATTTAAAGGTTTGATACAGGTTAATGAAAGCCGCTGAGAGCAATTTCCAGTCTGCTAGCCTGCCTTCAAAGAGAAAGATGAAAAACAAGAAACAAAAAGAAAAGAAACTTTTTCTCCTTGCCCCTTAGTGACACTTGGTTTCCAGCAAGCTCATAAATTATGTCTTAATAGGTGTGATGTAATGAAAAATATTCCCCATGGTCATAAGTGCCGGGCACATAGTAAGCGCTTTAAAATGCCAACATTTTTATACTTCTGTTGTAGAGACCAGAACACAAAGTAGCTTTTTGTCAAAGCTTTATTTGCTGACTCTGCTGTTGTTTCCCCCAGGAGACCTGCCCCTTTATGGAATAATAAAAGGTTACCAATAGCCTTAAAGAAAATGGTTGAATTTCAGTTCTGTGGTTGAAATTATTTGTGTTCTTGAGATCCTAGTGATCAATCACATAAAATACCTCACTTCTTTTTGAAAGGTTGGGATATCTGGAGCCTGTTTTTGAAACCCGGAAAGCTCACCTTTATAAATATTTCTGCATTTTACGGGCTTTTAGGATATTATCACCAGAGACCATTTCCTCTACGTGGAATTTTCAGTGGTTGGCAAAATCACCATCTGGCTTCTGCCCCGGCACTCCACTAACCTGCCTGGTCAGGTCCCTGGGGACCCCTGAATTCCCAGATCTGTGGCAGGTGACACTCTGACCATTCACTCCTGGAAATCCCTTGTCCTCTGGTTTCCTTCCTCATCCATACATTTAGTGATAGTTCTGTGCCCGGCCTGAGTGAGCTGCTAGAGTCATGAAGAGGAGTGTGGTTTTCAGCCTTCAGGAAATTGTGACTAGCAGAGGATGTGTAGACCAGAGGGGACAATGGGGTGCTTCTAGTGGTATGTCAGAAGCCTAGGAGTGCCTGGGTGGCTCAGTCGGTTAAGGGTCTGCCTTCGGATTATGATCTCAGGGTCCTGGGATAGGCCCCCATCCAGCTCCCTGTTCAGTGGGGAGTCTGCTTCTCCTTCTCCCTCTCCCCCAGCTCATGCTCTGTCTCCCTCTCTCACGTGCTCTCAAATAAAATCTTTTATTT